AATTATTCCCGTATAACTCTTTTATCAACACCATTTCGATCATGTTATGAATTAAATAGTACATTTAAATGATGTTTTTCACATCATCAATAGGTCTTTTTTCTGCAAAAGCATTAAGACTGCTGGGTAAAAGATTTGCCCAGTTAAAACACATTTCATAAGTTTTGCCAAACTAATATAGTCAAACACACATTTTATCATTACAGGACCAGTCACGCAACATTAAAGTACGGGACTTTCAGCCACGTCAACCAGTCCTTCATGGTTTTAATGCGCCACTTACTGCCACGTAGGCCTGTCCAACACTAAACACATATGGTGTCAGTGCGGAACTAGTATCACACCTGATCAGTATGTGACTAGTCCCGTACCGATCAGGTGCGAGACTAGTCCTGCACTAACACCGTACGTGTTCAATGTTGATCTTGCGCTACTCAGGTACGTGACTTATAGATAATGCCACCTGCCCCAATCCTGGTCGTCTATCCTACCAAACCAGCCCAAAATCTCCTATATATACCCCCAACCTATGAAAATCACAACCCAGTGTCATATTCTCACATTCCCCTTTCTTGTGTTTGCTATTTGCGTTGGGCTTTTACTCATCATATTCATCTACTTTCATTTTTTATCACTTTTATTTTGTGTTCTATAGTTTTCATAATAGCACTATTGCAATGGATCAATTTCATTCATTCGTATATTATAATGGTTATAATTTTGTAAGTGCAAATAGTTTGACTTTCGAAGGGGAAAAATGAGCAATGTATATGGTCCAAGGCATGTCCGTTAAAGATTTAAAGGAAAAGATCCATCAAAAGTTGAAGCTCTAACAAAATCAAATAATATCTTCAGTGACGGGTAGAGTCTCGAGTAGAACCACCAATATGTGGGTTTTGAGATATCTGATGATGAAGAAGTGATGTTTTTCTTAGAATATTCGTCGATAACTCTGTGTCTCAATTTGTTGAGTTGTTATACATGGATATTGATACAACTGAGGATCTGTCAATATTGATTTGTAGACTGGACCTTAATAATCAGTCACATTATGTATCGTCTTCTGTACCGCATACTACACAATCAACTATTGCTCATGGAGAAGAGAGTGACTATATGGTAGATAAAGAACTTGACAATGAGGAGCAAGATGAAAATGAAAATACTCTATTGGCTAATGACCATGACCGTAATGATGGCGATGCAGCTGATGAACATCATGCTGATCCAATTTCCCATGAGACGGGTACCCTTATGCCCAATCCCGTAGTTCTTCCATAATCATCAGGTTAGTTAGTGAGTTGTATTATTATATTTTTATTTTGTTATTGGTTATAATGTTTTCACATCTACTATGTTATGTGTGAATGTGTAGATGTTGCACCATTTTGGATGCGATTCCATATTATGAGACTATTAATTGGGATTACTCACATGAAGATATACTAGATGTTGAAGGTTTAGGTTGGGGTTCGTGGACAAGAAGAGATGAATTGTATGTGAAATAAGAGTTCAACTCCAAGTATAATGTCCAGGACACAATAAAACATTACTGCATGAAGGCTCGTTAAGACGCTTTAATGGTTGAGAGTTCTACGACCAAGTTGTCTATGAAATGTGAGAACTACGAACAAGGCTGCAATTGACGAGTAAGAGCAATTAAAACGAAGAATAACAACACTTGGGTGGTTAGTAAATAGGTTGGAGATCATAGTTGTGTGAGCCAATTCATTTCCCAAGATCACAAACAACTTTATTCTAAATTTATTTCCGTAGTCATATTAGGTACGATGTCCAATACTATCTGTCCGTTTTGATAATTATCTGTGTTTATCAGTCAACGTAAATAACATTATAAATATATATACGTGTTGTGAATGGTATTGCAGAGATGGTCAAGGCTTCATCTTCGGTACTTGCGATCCTGACACAAGAAAAGGTGACTGATCTCTTTGAATTTCATGTTTCTTATAGGAAGGCATGGAAGACAAAACAAAAACAAATTGCTAAGATTTACGATGATTGGGACAAGTCATATGCTTTTCTGCCAAAACAATTTGACAATATGTTGCATTTTTTCTCAAGATCTGCGTATCACATTCAAACTGAAGAATATGCAGTCAATCAACAGGTTGTTAATGAGTTTCAGATGTTTCAAAGTGTTTTTTTTGACTTTCAATCAATATCGTGAGGCATTCAAATGGTGCAAACCAGTCATACAGGTGGACGATACGCATCTGTATGATAAGTATAAAGGAATATTATTGATCACCACAGCCAAAGGTGGAAATAACGAGATGCTGCTAATTGAATTTGCGGTTGTTGAAAGTGAAATAAAGGAAACATGAGAGTATTTTTTTGGCTTTCATCCGAATGTATGTTACAAATAAGACTGGTATATACCTTATTTTTTATCGATATCGCAGCATGATATCAGTAATTGGTAATGAGGCCCTTGGTTGGCAACCTCCTAATACGTACCATGTTTTTTAGCCTCCTTCATGTAGAAAACAAATTTAATATGTATTTCAAGGACCATGAGTTGAAGAAAAATGCAATGAAGCTAGGTAATATACTCAAACTCATTTGCATTGACGTTAAACAGTACGTGTGCCACCTGATGTGATTGCTAATTTTGTGTCAATGTTTCTTTTTTGTAGGAAAAATTCTAAATAAAATCCACTTTGACATACTGTACGCCGAGTTCTGCAACACTAGTCCGAAAGTGGCTGCAAGGATGATGAGCATTCCGAAAGAGAAACGAACTCGGAGTTATGATTTGGATGGACGAAGATATGGCCATATGACCACTAATTTATTTGAATCAGTCAATATGTTTTTGAAGGGAGAACGAAACATGCCAATCACTGCTTTGGTCAAATGCACGTACAATCGACTGGTCTATTACCTTGTCAAAAGAAGGACTAAAGCCTATAAAGATGCCCAGAATGGTAAATATTTTTCCAGTGTAATTAGTGAGGCCATGACAAAGAATGGAGAGAGGGGTACATCACAGCGTGTTCAGGAGTATGATACGACGCATACCACATTTCAAGTTGATGACGACGACGATATATTATGGGTTAACTCGAGTGAGAGGAAATGCAGTTCGACAAGTTTCAGGCATTCAAATTCCCTTGTAGCCATATAATTACTGCATATACGAAGGTAGCCCATGATGCTGAACAATACATGAATCAAATATTCTTCATTTACAATATTATGTATGTTTACTCTTCCCTCCCTTGATTCAAATTGAACTTCAAATAAATAAAATTTAAAACATAATCCATGTAATATCTAACATATTATGGTTAAAATGTATACCAATCTACTAAAAAAAATGAATAGCTACCTCCGAAGAGAAAACATTACTTTGTACCGCATGTTGTGTAGATACGTTTATTTGTAAAAGTTGTCTTCATAGACTTCAAATGTTAGAATTTCTTTTGTAATAACTCTATTCTAACCAGAATTGACTAGTTAAATGGATGAATTTTTTTAAAAATTATTTGACTACTTTATTTTTTAAAAACAATCTGTTTTCACTCAAATTAAATACAAAAAATAAATTTAAAATATTACATTTTCAATCGTGAGAATCTCGTTTCAAATTATATTTTATTTATTATTTTTCTATGGATAAAGGATTTCTCTGGTCAATGAAGATAAGTTATCTTCAGTGAGCCCAAAACGACGTTGTTTTGAACTCAGTGAAGATAACTTTATCTCTAGTGACTGAAGAAATATTTTTTTTTATATGATATAACAGTTTTCGACATAAAACAAAACATTGTTATTTATTCAATATAGAAAATAACATTTAAACTCTTTTAAGGGTTAACATTTACAAAAGTTTCGCTATGCCGACACTGAGACAGAACTACCCCTTTTTAACCCGATCTATAAATAGTTATGTTCATAACTCAACTTCTCATATTTAAAGGAAAAAGCACCATTTTAAAATTTTCGAGCAAAAGAATTGCTCAGTTAAAGTTGATTGGATAAGTTTTTCCAAAGTAATGCAGTCAAACATGTCACATATGCTGACGGGACTAGTCTCGTCACTGACACTGACGGGACTCGTGCCACGTCAGCACCACGTAGGCAGTTTTGTTACCATAAAACTTTAGAAGACCATAACTTGTGACTCAGATATCCAAATCAGATGATTTTATTTTTGATTTCACATAACTTTTCGAGATCTACGCAATGACATCTCATTTGACATATTTTATCTCTCACAAACATAATTTGAATTGGTAACAATTGTACCATAATCACGCGTTTAAATCCAGAAGATCTTCAAACTATGTTTGTGGAAGATAAAATATGTAAATTAGGTGTCATTACGTAGATCTCGTTATGTGAAATAAAAAAAAAATTATCTGATTTGGATACCCGAGTCACAAGTTATGATCTTTCGAAGTTTTACGATAATGGGACTACCTACGTGGCGCTGACGTGGCACGAGTCCCGTCAGTGTCAGTCCCATCAGCATATGTGACATGTTTGACTTTTGGAAACACTTATCCAATCAACTTTAACTGAGCAATTCTTTTGCTCAAAATTTTTAAAATGGTGCATTAGCCCATATTTAAAACATCAATTGTTATAACCAAAAAAATGTATGAAAAGATACCAAACTCAGAAAAATAATCAAAAAATAATATTTGGTCACATTAAATTTCTTTATTTGTTAATACAAGAAATTATATAAATAGACCAATCAAATAAAAAATAAAAATTAATTACTTATGTTTACCACGAACTTTAATTTGATTATTAAATTACAATATAATTATTAAAATACTATTTGTTTACCTTGGAAACACTAATTTCCCCTAATTCAACTTTCCAATGCAAAAAAAAAGTAATTGTAAAAACAAAGTTAAAAAATAATTATTTCCGTGAAAAGGTATTTGCAGCGTGTGAACATATATATAATTTTAAAAAAGAAAATCCACATAGATAAAAAATAAAATAAAAAAGGCACTGGAGCAATCCGAGTCATGTGTTGGTGGTCCATGTGTCACCGCGTTTTCTGTTTCCACTTTCCAGTTCAACGGCGTTTACCAGTCGTGTTCAGTCTTTCTTCAACCATTGCTTATTCTTCCCCTTTCTATATGGTTGGTCAGCTCCGTTTACTTTCTCTCTCGTCTCAAGGGTTCTGATTTTACACCCGAGACCAAGAGAGAATCATAACATTTTCCTTCTAATTTTCTTCATTTCTCTCAATAGAAGGAACCATAACTTGGTTTACGTCGATTAGCTTTCATTCAATTTCAAAAGCAGCTTATGAATTCTTGATCCCATTCCTGTTATTAATTTTAGATGGATTTAGATTTAATTCTCCATGCATCATCTACTTCGGATTTTCGGACATAGCAAGCAAACCACCACCATGGATGCTAAGAAGCTCCGAAGAAAACCCAAACTCGAGCGCCGCAATGCACACAAGCACTTCGAGTACGACGCCGTATCGTCTTCCTCCTCGCTCGACGACTCCTCCTCCTCCTCCGGCTCGCTCTACACTCGATCCATGGAGTTCTACCACCGCACCAGCTTCCGAATTGAGGGAGTCGAGGGTGAGTTCGATCGAATTTGCAGGAGTTTGGGGCTCTCGGGGCCAGAAGACTTCGCTATTCCCGCGGCAGCATGGGAGGCCATGAAGGTTCGATCCTCTTCCGATATTCTTCCAAGGTTGAAACTCACCGAGCTGGATAGTCAGGAGAAGGAAGAACCAAAGGTAAAAGAGGAAAGTAACGTAGCAGAGGGTTGTGATTTGGGTGAGAAATTTGAAGAGAGGGTTAGGGTTAGGGTTAGGGTTAGAGACGAGACTGCTGAGACTACCGTGTGTTGCACGGAAAGTGGCGGCGGCGGCGGCGGTATAAAGGGGGTTCGTCCCCCGATGCTTAAGCCGCCACCAGGGGTGAGGGTTCAGGTTGTTGATAACGAGTGCTCCACTTGGGACCTTTTGAGGGATTTTGCTCCGCAAGGTGAAGGGGATGTACCGAGAGAAGCAGCGGAGAAAGAAGAAGGGGAAGTTGGTGGGGTGAGTCCGAAGAGAGAAGACGAAGAGAGAGTGGATAATGCTGCAAGGATAGCGGAAATTGTTGCTGAGCTTTCAGGATCGTGTTCGTTTACTACGTCAAATGAAGATGATTCTTCTAGCACTGCCACGGATCCTAGGTCTAATAATATATCTCCTAACGGGAGAATCAGACGTATTATTACCCCCGGCAGATGGCAAAAGGGTGGCCTTTTGGGGCGCGGCTCGTTTGGCTCAGTCTATGAAGGGATTTCTGAGTAAGTTGACTCAATACCGTTCAGTTTTCCTTTCTCTTTTCCACTTGAATATTATCAATGTTACTACTACTGATCAATTTCATCGTTAGATGATTAAGTTGATCTAACGATTATATTTATTTTCATCTTTGTATGGTTATGATTCCTCATATTTAATATGAAAGCATTAAATATGAAAAATCATAATAATATAAAGGTAGAAATAAATATAAATTATTAAATATGGAGAATTATAACCATATAAATATAAAAATAAATATAACCGTTGGATCAACATAATAGATCTAACGGTGAAATTGATTGATAGTAACACTACTTGGTTGTTACAATATCCTTCTCCGTTTAAAATTTTTTTTATTATTGGAAGGTGAGTTATAAATGGTTTTACATTAGCATGTACGTGTGTTTCTCCTTTTTTTTCTTTTTTCTTTTTTCTTTTTATTGTAGTTCTTTGTTATAATGTAATGTTTTCCTTTAATTAGATCTAAAAACTACAGAAAATATATTATATTAGATGGCTTTTAGGAAAATTTCATTTCGAATTATGAACGGTAGCAGGCTTGGATTGGAGTTGGGGCTAATGCTTCGGTTGTTTAGGACCGGGAAGGTTAGTTCAAGAATATTGCTGGGTGGGTTTGGATATGGTAATAAATTAGGCAAGGCTTTGTTATGACTTTCAATGTATCTAGTGAAGATTTTCCGTCTAGTGAAAAAGAGGAGGGAAGAAATACACTTGTTTCTACTTTACCAACATTTATTCTTTCAAAAGCTTATTTTCAAAATAAATAGTAACTAATCGTAAAAAGTGAGTTGAATAAGAAATGGGGTGAGCTAGTTGAATCTGACAGGTCAATGTCTGTTGAACTAACTACTCAGAAACTGTTAGTTTGTATCCTGAAACAGATCATTTTTTAGGGGGGCAGGAGGGGTTATTTAGAAAATATTTTGCACATCGGATAATATTATCAATTCATTTCTTTTCCTTATAAAACAGTGTAACTTTTGGCCAGAATAGGAGTACAAGGGCTTTTGAACCCTTCAAATTCGTTTCGTTAATACTTCCTTAAGGGAGCGTTTGGTATAGGAGAAATTTTTTATAACCAGGTAAATATAAATAGTGGGGAAATAGTTGTAAAGCAAAATAAGTGGGAAAATTTTAAAAATGTTGTTTGGTAGACCGAAATATTACCAGGAAAATTGTGTAAAATATACTGAGACTATGTTTGGTTTAAAATAAAAGATTGATGGGAAATATGACAAAATTTCCAAAATACCCCTGAATATTAAACAATTGGAGGTGAGGTTCTCTGGAGAGGGGCAATTGCGTAAAAAATTTGGCACCTAAATATATCACTTCCCTAGTTTTCTATGGATACCACCTCGAAGGTGGGTTTCTCCAACGGTGATTTTCAGACCAAAACACATTGATTTCAGATTTGCATGGGGAAAAAGAATGCCCTGTTTTATTTCATTTAATCCTCTACCAAACTAGTCATTCTCCATTTCCCACCACCACTTACCCGTCTATCCCATTAAAAACCACCTACCAAACATCGGATTGTTTCCATTGTGTCATTTCCTTCAATACCCATGTTTGTAAGCTTCAAAACGCAGTCACCATAAAATGTAACTTTCTGTGTGGATGACTAGTTAAGTCAATTTTCTTTGGTCAACAATCTGCTGAAAAAGAGCATGATGACAGCCACCCTTTGTTCTATGTGTAGGGTTCATACCTATGTGTCCAGTGTTATCCGTTCGATGTGAGAGGAAAACCATAATTTTGAAGGGTGTGACCTTTCTATTGCTTTATTTTTTCTTTGCTAAATTTCCTAGATTCTTCTAAACCTTTGACAGTTCTTTGTCTCAAAGGTGTCCCTCTAATGTGGGGTTTTAATAAACTTAGCTATTAGCCTTTTACTAATAAAGATAATTTCTGAAATGCAATAATGCAAGTCTTCTATTGCTCATACTGATTAGGAAATGTATATGAGCTTCGCTGGACTTGTGTTTCCCCTTAATTGAATAGTGAATTAGGTTGTTCATTTGGCCACTGCATGAAATTGATGCAGTGGTACTCTGGCTTCAAGTTGAATAGCCAATGTGAATGTATTTGAAACCATATAAAATGATAACTGTAGAGAAATTTAATGAGCTAAGGGAGCTATATTTTGCAAGGGTAAGGATATTGTGATTTGTAATTGCTGTTCACTGCCACTTTTTTGTCAAAACCAAAAGCCTCAAAAGGTTGGACCTGTTTGATTGTGGTTTGCTTTTTTTGTTCTTGAAACTATTTTGTAGAGTAGTCAATAAAATTGGTGGTTTTTTTTTTTTTTTTAAAGTGAATAGTCAAAACATAAAACAGAAACAATGCAAATATGTTCTCTAACTTGATTCTAAAAACTAAAGTAGAAACAGACCCGTTATTTTATTCTGAAAGTTAAAAGTCAAAACACACTTTTTTATCAAACAGGCTTTTTTTTTTAATTCTGAAAATAAAAAAATTGTTTTTGGAAACAAAATTCAAGCAGACCTGTTATTTTTTAATTTGGCATCTTCCTAAGCTGCTTACAACAGGGCATAAATTATCATCCAATGTTTTCCATTCAAATTGCTGCTTCTTTTGGATTTTTTTTCTTTACAAAGCTCAAGAGCAAAGCTTTACTCAGTGTGATGATTGTACCGGTGTTATAGTCATTATATTATGTTATGCAAGTGATATCTACTAACAAGTTTGTATCTTCTAACTATCACTGTAGCGATGGATTCTTTTTTGCTGTAAAAGAAGTTTCACTGCTTGATCAAGGGAATCAGGGAAAGCAAAGTGTCTATCAACTGGACCAGGTGATGGGCTTACAGTTTTAATGCTTTATAACTTCTTTTTTCATACTTTTCTTTTCCAATAATTAACATTCTTTAATGAAAAACAAAAAAAAGTTCTCTTACGTAAACATTATGCTATCTTGTGCAATACTTCATAATCGTTTGAGAGGTTACTGTCTCCTTCATGTTTCTCCAAATATATTTATTTTCTCACATTTGGCTTTCTCTTCTCTCTCAGGAAATTGCACTTTTGAGTCAGTTTGAACATGAGAATATAGTTCAATACCATGGCACAGAAATGGTACTTTCTTCTTGTCTTGTCTTTTCTTTTCCTTTTATGTTCAATTTGATATTTTCTTGTTGTTTACCATTGTTGAGTCTATATGGAAAGTTGTCGATATAGATTATGTCTAATGTAACAGGTTACACATCTCCAGCTTTTTTCAATGTTTTGAATATAAATGGAATGTCTTAGTTAGAGTCAGGACATGATGTCAGGATAGGTCATGAAATGTAGTCTAATTTTTGTATGACAAAGGATCCACATGGCTGCAGTAACTAATCATGTAAAACTTCAAAATGCCAGGAACTAAACTATTTGTGCAATGTTCTTCTGTTATTATTATCATTTTCGTGTGGGGGGCAAGCTTCATTGTTGATATTTTCACATCTAACTGAATAAGCTTATGATTCAAAATTATTCAAAATGTGATTTGTACTTTACACTTTGCTTGGTATTTGTGCAGGATGAGTCAACGCTGTATATCTTTCTTGAGCTTGTAACCAAAGGCTCCCTTGGAAGCCTCTATCGGAGGTATACTCTTCGAGATTCCCAAGTATCTGCCTATACAAGACAGATTCTGCATGGTTTGAAGTATCTTCATGATCGGAATGTGGTTCACAGGTGACTACAGATTATATTTTTATTTTAATATTTTGTTGGCTTTCCTTTTTGTATGTATTACTTCTGCTTTTCTGTGGTATTCCTGGTCTTGAATCATATGATGTGGTTCCCTTTTCTAGATCGATGCTGACAGGAGTCCCATATATGGTTATTGCTTTCTTGCTTCAAATGGACTTTCACTTTGGCTTATTGTCTCATAATTGCAATATAAATACTTTGTTAAGGACTTCTGTTACAACCCAAACACAATGGACAAAGGTTTCAAGGAAAATGAATAGAAATTGTATTGATTGAAGCTGAATCAATAACAACTCAGCCCATTCCAGTACATGATATTGATCCTACAATCTATATGATAGAAACTGAAATAATGGTGGGAAAAATACAAGAGAAAACGAGAAGATAATTTCTGAGTATTTGAGAGACTCAGAGCTCTCCCAGCCCAATGCCCAATCTGATTTTTCCAGATGATCAGAATTCATTCCTATTCCTCTATTTAAGCAACCAACTTTCCTCCACCTTTAAACGTCTAACAGAATATTGTTTACCACCTTCGGGAACCTTCTCTATTAACAAACTTCTTGCTGACTCAGCACTGGGCTATATTCTCCTACATCTACTTCTTTCCTACACCTTGTTTAATTGAATCGTAACAACTTCCTTTTCTTCTTGTTATTTGGTCCTGTTCTTTTTCTTGTTTGGGCAAATATCATTACATTTTCGTTGCTTGGAATGCTTGTTGCTGATATCCGAGGACTGTTAACTGTTTCATATATTGGGCCAAAGAAGAGAGTTGAAAGAAGAAAAGTATCTAAGGGAATAAAAAGATTTCTCATCCAATTATTCTCATTGCCATTCTTTTCTTGCCCCAAACAAATAATTTTGATGCTAATATGTAGTCTAGTATTTGTGGACGGCGTATTAGGTTTTTTCAGCAATTGATTGCTTTGGATTTGAATTTTATAATGATTAAAGAAGGAAAATCATGTTCGTCCACATCAAACTAAGGTAAGGGTAAGAGGTTGAATGATTACAAAATTACAATGCATGTTAGGTTTTTCGTTTGGGAAATTTTAATGGGTAGACTTTTTTCTTTGGGTTAAGCTCATGATTTCTTTAACATCTTCTCTTTTGTGTTCCTGTGTCAGTTGTGTAATTAGGATGAAGCAATCTTTGTACATATAATCTAATTATATTTTCCCCAATTTAAGGGATATTAAATGTGCAAATATATTGGTTCATGCAAGTGGATCTGTCAAGCTTGCAGATTTTGGATTGGCAAAGGTACCTTCCTCAGTTTATGCTTCTTTTCTAGTCTTCTTTCGTTTCTTCAATATCGTAATTTAAATTTTAGATATCTAAATAATGTTCAATTACTTATCATTTCCATTTTCTGATATTGCTTTTCTGAATTGTTTTCAGGCTACCAAACTGAATGATGTTAAATCATGCAAGGGGACAGCATTCTGGATGGCCCCTGAGGTTTGCCTTAAGTCTTTTTTTTTTTTTGTAATCGTTTGCTTCAGTCTTAACTTCTGAAGAGAAATACTGAATACTGGTTCAACTATTCTAATTTATTGAGCAACACCACTTCTTCGGCTGAGGACTGAACACATTATTAAATGAAATTAAATTGTCATACATTTATCAGAAACTGTATGCATTTAACATGCTACTCATCTAAAACTCTAAATGCTTTCACTTTTCTGTGAAGTTGGTGGTGGTTCCCACCTAGAACCCAAGGAAATTATTACAACCCCACAAAAATTAGATCTTGTTACACTTTCTTAATAGGGATATTAGAGAAGCTGAAACAATGAAACTATGGAGGGTTGAATTTTTACTCTTCTCTTTTGCTTTGTCCCATTTAATTGCCACATGGCTTGATCCATGTAATGAACAGCTGGATATAATTATTGATAGTGGTGTAGTAATTATGCATATTTTGTTTCAAGAATTCATTGCCAACCATTTCATGTTCGAAAAGAAACATCCCTTCACTTTTGAATTTAGAAACCTTAGACTTTCCAAAATTCTCCCCTTTTGGGGTGTTCCATCTTCTGATTTCTTGATAGCATAACTGTTGATTCTTAATCTGGAACATGCAGGTTGTAAAAGGAAAGAACAAAGGTTATGGGCTTCCGGCAGATATATGGAGTCTGGGATGCACTGTGCTGGAGATGTTATCGGGCAAAATTCCATACTCTCAATTGGAATGTGTATGTGTCATATTTTTCCTGTTTTCACTTCCATTACCATTGTCAGCTCACAGTAAGGGTGATTATGTAACCCCTGATGATGTTTCCCTTTTCTGTCTCAAGGGAGGGCTCTTCAGTTTTCACAATTTCAGTTCTGATTTCAAGTCACTTGCAGTCTTTTTTCTTTTTTTTTTTGGGTTTAGTTTTATGCGTTTGCCTTTACAAAAGTTTTTGCTTTTGCAGTTTATAATGATTATGCAGCTTCAGCTACCCCTTCTAATCTAAATTCTCGATGTTGCTGCTAGTTATTTTTTAAATTAACTTCTGGATTTTGTTGATGTTCCGTGTCCCATGTTTTGCATTTAGTAGAAATGTTGGTTGATTCTTATAGTTATATGAAAAGTGAATATTTTTCCATGAAATATATCTATAACTTTTAAAATTGTTTTCCTGCTGGTTCTGACTTTTGAGCTTTGATTAATCTCTTCCAACAACAGATGCAGGCATTATTTAGAATTGGAAAAGGTGAACGACCTCCTATTCCTGATTCTCTTTCAAAAGATGCACGGGATTTAATCCTGCAGTGCCTTCAAGTTAATCCAGATGATCGTCCCACTGCTGCCGAACTCTTAAATCACCCATTTATCCAAAGGCCGATTTCCCAGTCATCTGGTTCTTCACTTCCTCACGTTCCTGGCAGAAAGGGTTAAAATTTGTTGTCTTTAAGCAGGAAACATAATTGAGGTAAAGATTGTTACATACCATCTCATTTTGCTGCTTTGTTTGTCTCTTTTCATCATCACACCTGAATTATATCAAAAACCTGTTTTCATAGTTGACCATTCTTTTTAGAATTTTCATTTGTAACTCATGAGTGGTTACATCATTTTGGTTGGAAACAAAAGGCCTAAGATGCTTGAATTGGTTTTCAGGATGCACATACAATACCTTCAGTTAAGTTGGGTGGGGTTCAAGTGCGGTTACATTCTTATTTGGGGGCAAATGTTCATGCATGCATAACTGAAATAAGAAAAGGAGGAAAAGAAGAAAACGTTTCTAACATGTCTGCGGTGGAATTCTCAAATTACTGACTACATTGTTTTCATCCATTTGCTCAAATCACTGTAGCATGGGTTGAATTTTTCTCTTTCAGTGGCTTATTTCATTCTTTTACTCTTGATGACAGTTCTGTCCTTCATTGCTTGTAACATATTTCCGATGTTCAGTCTTAAAGTTGCTGAAGTTCATCTGGAACCATTAATGCAGTAATTGTTGCTCGTATTGTGGCATTCAGAGTTTGCTTGCCTGTAACTTAATCGATTTTAAGAGCTGCTTTGGATCTAACAAGTGATATGGCGCTCCAGAGAACCAAATTATCGACTTGGCTATGTCCTACTGGGGAATTATGCTCAATGTGTTATCTAATTACTCAACGATGATTTGTCCGTTGTAGCAAAGCTAAACTATCAACGTCGAGCTAAAAATGTTACCCGCGCCTTCCCCTCAAATTAGCTACGGGTGAAAAAATCTGTAGGGCTTACCTCTCGGAGCAGTTGTAGCAAGGATTAGAGATAGCAAGAATAAGAGATCTTGCTATTTGTAAATATAAATTATTAGCATGCCATTGTTTGTGTACATTTATATTTCGAAGTTGTTATTTTCATCATTTTTTTTTCTTTTCTTTTTGAATCCATGTTTAATGATTCCCACTTTCTTAATGGTCTCTGAAAATTTGATCTTTGGTTTAACACAATGATGTGCTTAATTCATGTAACCAACCTCGTTTTGTAGGAAAAGGCTCTGTTGATTTTGGTTAATGTTTTGTTGCTTCTTGGAACAAGAGATGTAGTGTGGTTTTCTGTTCTCTATCTTCTGTGGCCGTTGACTGACCAAATAGGGGCACAGGTCTCCTGTGTTTATTCTGGATGTTTCTGGGCCGAATGCTCCCTGACTGTATAGGAATCTTGTTATACCACTTGCTTGAAGCCCTTATTTGCACGGCATTGCTTGGTTTTTGGGGAGTTTATACTTTCGCTTGCACTATCTCTGAAAATTTCGAAGACCAATGGATGAAAATGGTAAAAATATATTCTGAAGTAAACCTTCAAATTTTGAGAAACACGGCTATGGATTAGAAATTAAAATTCCATCCATGATCCCTAGGTACAACAAATTTTAGCCACATTAGTTCTTAAGCACCGACGGTTAGTCCTTGAGAAGGACTATATGACCAACATTTGTTTACTTTCAAATTCCTCAATACGAATTTGAGAATTTATTTCTTTTTCTTCTTTATTTTTTTAAAAATAATTTAAGCGATTAACCTGCACCTTCATATATTCCCTAACATTGTACTTTTGTTTGCTATTTAATGCATGGGACGATCAAATTAAATGAGTATTTGTTGTGTTTTTTTTGTTTTTGTTTTAAAAGTTTAAAATTAAAATACAAAATATAAATAACTGAAATATGTTCTCTGATTTTAAAAACCAAAAAGTATTTTTAGAATTATTTTTATAAAATAAACATTATTCAACAGATTTTTTTATTCTAAAAATTAAAAAACTGTTTTTGATATCAAGTAAATGGGCTTGAAATAAATGGGGTCCAGTATAGCATAGCAACATGAGCCCACACAACAGAGCACTACTCATTTTCCTTTAGATGAAGGGAACAGCTCTTGTATTCCCCCCCCCCCCCCCCCCAAAAAAAAGAAAAAAAAAGAAAAAGAAAAAGAAAAAAGAACAGCTTTACATTGGGGTAGGTGTTGCAGCACACGTCACCTCTGCTAGCCATTGTTTTGGATTTTGGAGAACGTGAGCGCGAAGATCGGGCGCTCTCTCCATAACCTTCAACTCCACAGTTCCAACCAAACAATTCCTCTCTTTCCATTCCTTGAAAGACCTGCAGTTACCAGGTATTCCTCTCTTTCGATTTGTTGCCTCCTGCGAGGGTTTTCCTCACCCTTCGATTTTCTGATCTCTGATTTCTGTTGTTTCACCTTCTTCTTTTTTCAACGTAATCTTAGAGCTGTTTTCGTATCCGTATGTGCTTTTAGAAATTTTCTTCTAAGGTGAGCTCTCCATGGTTACGATTTATGAATTACTAGCGTTGGATTCTATTTGCGCACGCTCTTTACACTAAAATGGATTCAATGTCCTGAGTTGCACGAGTGTGGCAAGATATTGATCCGTCTTTTATAACTTAGTCTTTCATTTTCACTCTGCGTTTCCTACAAGTGATAGAAAATGTCTCCTTCCAAATGATAATCAGAAGTGTTCGTGAATTTTTCCCTTAGATGTATTTTTTGTTAACTAATTTTGTATTGCTAGGTAAATCTAACCTGAACAATTTATGTTGTTTGGATCGTTACCTTTTGGTTCTGTGACTAATATCGTGTTGTTGTGGAAAGTGGCACTTGGTTGTTGTTATGACGTATATGTGCGTTGTGTTGCTTCCTAGAAGCAAATGCGGGCAATTATTGACAGAAATTATGAGTTTATTCTTTCTTAGATACTGGTTTGAAGTTTGGTATCCTGTTATCTTCATGATATCATTTATTGTTGAAAATGGTGGATTACTTGAAGGCTGTGCATCTGTTGGATGTGATATTATTTTCCATCAATTTATCTCCCAAACAGTTAACTCCAGATGCTATGATTACTGAGAAAGTGGTCACATTGTACATACTAGAAAAATTTCATAAAGTTTTAAGTTGATGTTGGGTGATTAAGTTTCACCTTTTTAACTCTTTGATTTTACTTATTCAGATGCTACCTAAAAGATCTGTAGACATTGAAATTAAATGGAGAACTTGTAACTTAATTTTTGAGGACTGTTTGCAATGCTAGCAGTACTATGTTGCACCGACACGGGACACGAGATACGACACGACACTCCGACATGTTAATTCTAAAAAATGTTAAATTTTGACATGTTAAGACACGTTTTGATATTCTATAATATTTTTAATTTATGTAGTGTATATTATATTTAGGGGGGTGTATTGGATTAGGATTTTAAAAGACTTTTTTGAGATAAAAAATCCTACAGATTTTAAAAGACATTTTAGAATTGGAGAGACTTTATAGACTTTTCTAAAAGATTTTTTTTACAATCAAGATTTCATAGGATTCTATTTTAAAGGATTTTAATCGAATTCATGAGATTTGAAAGGACAATATGGATTTAAAAGATTTTAAAAAATTATATGAATTTTTAACAAATATTCAAAATTACAAGAGTCAATAAAAACAAATAACAAAGAAATGCAATGATATTAATAAAAAAAAAGTAAACTTAACAACGGGTTGAAAATTATCTCAAAAATTACTAAACAACAACTCTTCACATATCAATAAAATCTAATATAATTTTCTCAATGAGTTTGATCAAAAATAATAATCTTATATCAACGGTTAACTTCCAAATTAAATATTAATTAATGAGTTTGATTTGCGAAAGTAATAACCATTGATTGACGAAAATCAACGGTTAAGATATGGTTGTAAAATGTTGTAAACAAAAATAGGCTGTAAGTATAATATTCCCCATAAAAAAATAACAAAGAAATGCAATGAAATTAATAAAAAAAAAGTAAAACCTAATATAATTTTCTCAATCAGTAAAACATAATATAATTTTTAACAAACATTCAAAATTACTAAACAACAGTTTTTCACATATCTAATGGGTTGAAAATTATCTTCTTCATTTGGTATCAAAGTTATGCATATATGATTATAAGACCCAATTTTTTTAATTATGAAAATAATTCTAAATTTGCATATAGAACCTAAAGTTCATGATAGAATTTTGTTTGAAATTTTTTGCAATTGATCTTGAAAACCTTGGGGTTTTTATTTTATGTTATGAGAGTTTTCTAACCATGTATTATATGCATATTTTCATTGAATATTCTAAAATTTTGAATCTGAAATTTTGGGTTTAATTACATGAAAGTTTAGAAAATTTCTCAAAAAATTTTCAGTCGATACATTGAAATCTTTTAAATTGCTTTGGGGCTTTTGAGAAACAAGTTTTTAGTTATCTATTGACACAAAAATTGTTTGAAATTGTTTCCTATAGTGAAGGAATTTCGTTCATGAATGTATTGTTACAAAATATAGGGTTCATATTATGAAAGTTTCAATCTTTCTTTAATTTGATATTGTTTTATTGATGTAAAACGAAAATTGGTTTGAGGGTTTTATGTTATTTTTTCACTGTTTTATGTTGTTTTTAATACAAAAATCACACGTTTTTGTGCCAAGAAAAATCGCAATCCATAGCTTGAAAAATCACTTTTTAAACTTCCAAAATTTCTTAAAAATTGATCAAAAATATGTTATTTTTGAGATAGATTATATTAAAATCTCGTTGGTTTGTTGTTTCTGGGTTGTTTTGATATGAAAATTGCTCAAAAATAAGCTCCGATGGCGGAATCCAATTTCGAGCAGTCTACCTGTCAAAGGAAGAAGAAAATATTGCAATAGAAGAATCTCAAGAAATCCTAGGGTTTAAGGTGAAATTGTGAGAGAGGCATCCTATTTATATTTTTCACTAAAATGTCTCACGAAATCCACAACAATAGAAAATCTATTAAAATCGTCGAATTTTTGAATACCACGAGATTGTGATTCCATTGTTTAAAATCATGATTGAATACCAACGGATTTGGACGGATTCCAAAATAATCCTTTAAAATCCTAATCGAATACCAACGGATTTTTTTGTTCAAAAATAATCCATTAAAATCCTTTGAAATCTCAATCCAATACACTCTCCTTAGTATTCAATAATTTAACAAAAAAAATAAAGTTAAACTTATAATACCCATCAATTTCGCAAAGAAATATAATATATCCCAAATGTTTATATTAAACTCAATAAAATCGTAAGCGTAATCTAACGAATCTAATAGTTGGAACTCAAAATGCAACGCAACGTAACCTTTGAACTTTTCTTGAGTCTTGGCAATGAGTATTAAAGTGTCGGAGTGGCGGGAAGTGTCGGACACGACATGTCAGGATTTTTGAAGTGTCGGTATTTCATATAGCACTACATTGCGAACGTGTGCAATAGCTTCTAATCCTTTACCTATTATCTGCTTCCTTGAATTTCTCAATTTCTTTATTTTTTAATGATTTTCTCCGATTCATGTAATTATCCTCCTTCAAATGCAAGGTAAGGCTGCCTATTGCAAACCCACACAATAAGTCTGACCTTTCCTTGAACCCTGTGCATAATAGGAGCTTTATATCACCAGTGTCCTTTTTTAATAATTATCTCCATCCAAAGAGTTTCAAACTCTAAAATCCAAATCAAGAAGCTATTAGTATCATGCCAAATGAACTACCTTATTTCAGTCCTTCTTGTTAAGCTGTTCTTGTTAGTACCCTGCCTTTCTGATATTTTGTATCCTGTTGTTGCTTCAAGATTGCGTGATAGATTTCTTATGATAATTAACTATACTCAACAATGAGACTCGTTGACACGAGTGTTTTATTTTTCTTATTCTTTTGTCGGTCATTTGATATATGCTTCGGACTGAATGACATCCTTTTGTCACAAATTTGTTAGTTGTAGAAGACTCTTCTATTCTAGTTTATGTTTGATTGTCTTAAAGGCCATATTTGGGATTTTGTTGACTTGAATCAGACTTCTCTTGAGGCTATTGAATGCTCTAGTCCTGCTTTCTCTTCATGTAGTAAATGCATTTAAAATCATCATCAGCATTTATTCATTGGCATGTGGGTGAAATCTCCCACTGACTCAAGGTTCCAGTAATTATAGTTTCATCCTTAATTGAGATGATTAAAGTTTTAGGTACTGGGCAAGGTTGAAGCATTTCACCCTGATTGGGGTTTTCTTGGGCCTTGGGGTGTTAGAAAAAGAAGCCACATGTATCAACTTGGACTTGTGCCTTATCCTTTTCAGAAGATAAATTGTTATGATTCTTATATAAGTAGTGGTAATCCTTTTATCCTGGTTTTTTTCATGATTAATCAACTTTCTCAAATTTATGATGCTCTTTTATGCTTCAACATGATTATAAATTCTGTAAGTTGTTAGAAAAACTTGTCTTTTGTAAGGGTGACGACAATCAACCTCAATTAACGTTTATATTGGTATGAAGCATACTTTTATCTTTTCTAAGGCATTAGAAAATAGTTATGAATGCAATTATTTTTTTTGTTATTATATTTTAAAGTTTAGGTTTCATTTTTTTTTCTATTCACATATTTTTCGTTTTCTCCTTTTGGTTCATTAATTGTTATGTAATCAGCCTTGGCAAAATGGTTGGTGTTGTCACCGTGTAACTTGGAGGTCACAAGTTCGATTGATATAATCAGCCTCTTGCAAATGCAAGATAAGGTTGCTTACTATGAACCCACACAATGAGCATGAACTTTCCCTGAACCCTGTGCATAGTCGGAGCTATATAGAACCTGGCTGCCCTTTTCATATGTCAAGAATGATTGCCCAGTTATGCATACTCTGGTTAAGGACATCTATGAGCAATACTGTCACCATGGAAGTTGTAGAGAGGATCATAAGGAAACCCTAGGCTTATGTGAAGGATCACTAGATATACTTTCAGCGTGTTATTACTTACTGAATGTACATATGCCATATGATAGTGTTCAAGTGTAGAAAATAAAGGATATTTAAATTTTTGATATAGAAAAGTCAGAAGTGTATAAGCATGTGATATTTTAGACATGCAGGTTTAGTGTACATGCTGCATGAACTTTCTGCAAAGCTTAGTTACATGGTTTGTTGTTTAGCATGAAAAACATGCATAAGGGTGTTGAAAAGATGGAAAAGAAAAAAGTGGATTTTCCAATTCTAAAAAGATGGAAGTTTGGTTGCATAAAGTCAGGACATCAAAGGAAATAAAACATGTAAAAGCAGAACTGAGTGAAACTCAGTGGGATGGCAAAGTCATGGTGGTCTAGCCTTGATTGATGACATTTAATATATGAGATTAAGAATGATATATAGAATATAGTAATTCATGGAGAGCAACTGAAGTACTGTACATATGCAAGTCAACGGGGATACATAAATGTGGACAATGAGGAAAGAAAATTGAGTGAATTCATTGATCTAGCTTTGGAAGTTTTGTTTCAGATTTCGTGTGATGTTCTGCTGATATGTAATAGTATTAGTAGTATAAAGAACCAATTCAACCCAAAAGTTTAAGCTGTTAAGTGAAGGCCCATCAATGGTTTTATACTTCTCTAACACGCCCTCTCACACGAGAGTCCATTGGGCCTGAAGGGTGGACAATGCACAGGCCCACCTACCTGTGCTAAGAAATTCCACAAGACTTAATTAATTATTAACTAAATGGGGGCGGTGAAAATCGAACTTGTGACACCGAGGCTTTGATACCATAAAGAACCAATTCAACCCAAAAGCTTAAGCAGTTAAGTGAAGGCGCATCAATAGTTTTATACTTCTCCAACAAGTAGTTATATAGATATATTGGTTTTACGAAGCTTGGATTTTATTTGTACTTGCTATCTTTGGTAGTGATGATACTTATTACCTGATTATTATTTTTATTTTGGGTTATAGTTCCTGACTTTCACTTTGACTTGTGTTCATATGTTTCTAATTTGCTGAAAGATGAAGTTTTGTTGTATGCTGTTTTATCTTAGACTTGTGTACTATGTTGATGTATGTTTAAATACTGTGAAGAGTTTATGTTAGAGTTCTCTTGGGGTTATCTCGTCTCTATTTGTTTAACTATGAATCATATGATTAATGCTAATTGCTATGAACAGGTATAACATATCTTAGTATTTCTACTTATTACTTTGACACGTGCTTTATATTAAGACTTTAATTTTGTGGCTTAGATGTAGCTACAATAGCTGCGGATAATAATTGAATTACTACGATCTTTTTATGTAGCTTTTTTGGGCTAAAAATATCAGTGCAAGGACTTTATAGGTTTTGTTAAATATTACTGCAAAGTCATATAAATGATATGATATCACAAATGTACTTCAGACATTTGATTTATAGTTTTTGGAATGACCAGAATTTTAACTTAGTATGTTAGAATTTCTCTCCTTTTTATACCCCTCTCTCCCTGCTTAGTCTCATTTTCAGTTTGTAAATGGCTAAAGATGGTAAGGTGCGGTGCAAGTCCCGGTCTCGAGGTCAGAAGTCGACCCCATATTTATTATCTTGTGCAAGAAAGAGTCTGAAAGATGTTAATGTAAAGAAGAGCTTTTCTAAAGCATCAGAAAAGAAAGATTGGGAAGATGCAAATTGCTCAGTCTGTATGGAGGTCCCCCACAATGCTATCCTTCTACTTTGTTCATCTTACAACAAGGGTTGTCGCCCTTATATGTGTGCTACTAGTCATCGTTATTCAAACTGTTTTGAACAGTACAAAAAGGCATACACGAAAGCAACTTCTGTTCAAAGTATGCAGCTAGAAACAGACTATTCAAATTTTGATTTAAGTGCAGGTGAACCTAATGACAATACAAAAGTGCCTGAACTTCTTTGCCCCCTTTGTCGCCGGCAGGTGAAAGGTTGGACAGTGGTTGAAGCAGCACGGAAGTCTCTGAATTGCAAGAAAAGAAGCTGCATGCAGGATGATTGCTCTTTTGTGGGGAATTACAAGGAACTTAGGAAGCATGTTAGGTCTAAGCATCCATTTTCACGACCACGTGAGGTGGACCCTATTCGAGAAGAAAAATGGAAGAGATTCGAGTGTGAAAGAGAACGGAATGATGTGATCAGCACAATTTTATCTTCAACACCAGGGGCTATGGTACTGGGGGATTATGTGCTTGAGCCAAATGACCATGCATTTTATAGCGATGAGTATGATTCTGATGAGGAATATCTAGAAGATGATTTCTTCTCCGTGAGGTCCATTGGTTTGGGGAGAACTGGCCGCTTTTTGTCAAATCTTAGGTATAATCAGGAACATGCTGCTAATTCTTTCGGCGTTGATCATTTTGGTTTGCAGAGTGTTGCATCAACAAGTTCTGCTGCTGTCTCTGGGCGTGGTCTCCACCGGCTACTGTTAGGAAGATCTAGAAGACGACGGAGACATAGGATTCCAAATGCAGGCAGGTAAATTAAGAGACGAACTACAGAAATGTGGGGAAAGAGTTGTGCTTCTGCAATATTATACCAGTGACCTTGACATGGCTTGTTTTGTTGCTATGCCAGAGCAGTTTTATAACGTAGTTGGCAGAGTATAGCACTTGACCCCAGTTTTAGTTGTGAACCATGTCATCTATAGATTGATATGGTATCACATGACTTTCCCTGTTTTCAGTTTTTCAAATACTGTACAAAAGGCAATTTTAGAGTGCTCATTGCCTCCCTGATTGCTAGGTTTAGGATATTAAGGTCATAATATGATTGTTAGATCCCATAGGCTGGACTGGTTGTTATTCCGTAATGCAAAGTGTTGAATTGAACAGGTGATTAGGGACAAGGAGATGTCCCAAATAATTTCGTTTTGAAGTGATGTGGTTTCATTCTTCCTATGATGATTTACTTACTGTACAGTTTGAATTAGTGTATAATAATTCATCTTTGATAGTGTTAGGAATGCGGAATGTCTTTGTTGGGTAGTGCATGTCCTTGGACCCACCATTGGCTATGCAGTGGTTGAGCTGATGCGGTAAGGTAATTGTAGGCCGGTGCCTGAGTTTAAGCTCTATTTTTAAGACCACCTGCACCCTTTTGATATATCTGGTGGATTTGTAGGTAACAGCAATGCTAATTTGTTGAAATGCTGCTAGTCATGGAAGAGGCTATTATATGCCCTTTTTTTCATGCAAAAATGTCCCAAGACAAATGTAGACAGAATTATTGAATTTTAATACACATGGCTTTTAAGTTGCACATGTCGCAATCAGAGTAACTATCTTCACTATTTTGTTTTAAAAATCTGTCGCATTGTCTATAGGAAAGGATTAATAAATATCCAATATTATCAATAACTTGAGAGTAATTTTGGATTTTCTGGATGAGACGAATATTTAGATCCTTGGAGTACAGGAGTATAGAAAAACAATTCCAACTCTCCAGGAAGGAGGAGGAAGAGGAAGATAGATCCATTAGAGCCACGCATAAATAATCTTATCTTATCTTTTACTGTCTTTTCCTCCTCTATAGATGTTACCTTTACTGAGTTTGTTTATCCATCTCAAGTAGTGCGAATTTGTTTTTATTGAAAAAGGTTTTCACTATATTGATTTTAATAATTACATGAGCAATGAGGAGTATTTATACAAGGAAAAATAGTTAAGCATGACTAAGCTATGACTCACCAAACCTAATCACAATCATAAGAATGACTCAGCTATGACTCACTAAACCTAATCACAATTAATTCTAATCAATTACAATTAATCTTAATTAATAGGAAATAAAAAAACAATCAATCCTAATTAATCTTAATTATTCCTAATTAATAGGAAATAAAAACGGAAAAATATTTGAATTTGAATTCTGATTTTCTACACTCCCTCTCAAGTTGGGAGGTAAATGTTGACCATTCCCAACTTGCCAATCAAGTCTTCAAAGGCTGGCCGGTGTAGGCCCTTAGTGAGAATATCTGCAATATGCTCTTTGGTAGGAATATACACCATACATACACTTCCATCATCTATTTTTTCTTTGATAAAGTGGCGATCAACCTCCACATGTTTTGTTCTGTCATGGTGAACTGGATTTTGAGCAATACTGACAGCAGCCTTATTATCACAATACACTCTGACAGGTAGGGAAAAAGAGATCTTCAATTCCTCAAGAAGTCTTCTTAACCAAATTTCTTCACAAATACCATGGGCTAGAGCCCGAAATTCTGCTTCTGCACTGCTCCGGGCAACAACTGTTTGTTTCTTACTTCTCCAGGTCACAAGATTTCCGCAAATATAGGTGCAATATCCTGAAGTGGATCTTCGGTCCAATGCAGAGCCAGCCCAATCTGCATCTGTATATATTTCAATCATCCTCTTGTGTCCCCTTTTAAAGAACAATCCTCGTCCAGGGTTTTTTTTAAGGTACTTCAGAATTCTATAAACTGCACTCAGGTGTTTTTCCTTAGGAGAATACATGAATTGACTAACCATGCTAACTGCAAATGCAATATCAGGCCGAGTGTGAGATAAGTAGATCAACTTCCCCACCAATCTCTGATACTGCTCTTTGTCAACTTCTTTCCCATCTTCGATTCCCAATTTAATATTGGGTTCAACTGGAGTCTCTGCTGGCTTGCACACAAGCATTCCTGTTTCTTGTAACAGGTCTAGAATATATTTCTTCTGAGTTAAAGAAATTCCTGCCTTACTTCGAGCAACTTCCATGCCTAGGAAATATTTGAGAGATCCAAGATCCTTCAGTTCAAACTGATTAGCTAAACATTTCTTCAAAGAGCTTATCTCCTCACAATCATTACCTGTGACAATTATGTCATCAACATAAACAATGAGAATAGCAATTTTACCACCATTGGAGTGTTTTAAAAATAAAGTGTGATCAGTCTGAGTTTGGAGGAATCCTCTTCCCTTAACAGCTTGAGTAAACTTCTCAAACCACTCTCTAGGAGATTGTTTAAGACCATAGAGAGACTTTTTCAACTTGCATACTGAATCGTCTCCTTTTTCAAAACCAGGTGGTGGATCCATATAAACTTCTTCATGTAGATCACCATTTAAGAAAGCATTCTTTACATCTAATTGTTGCAAGGGCCAACCAAGATTTGCAGCAAGTGATAAAAGAACTCGGATAGTGTTAAGCTTGGCAACAGGGGCAAATGTCTCTTGATAGTCTATCCCATGAGTTTGAGTGAATCCCTTAGCAACCAGTCTGGCCTTATACTTGTTGATGCTGTTATCTGCATTAAACTTTATTGTGAACACCCACTTGCAACCTACTGTTTTCTTTCCTCTGGGTAATGCTACAGACTCCCAAGTTCCATTTTTGTTGAGTGCATCCATTTCTTCAAAGACTGCATTCCTCCATTTTGGATCATCAAGTGCTTCTTGGATATTTTTTGGTATTTTTGTACTGTCTAACATAGTGTTGAAAGCACGAAAACATAGGGACAACTTTTCATATGTGATATGATGAGAAATAGGATGAGCAGTACAAGATCTAGTACCTTTTCGGAGAGCAATAGGCACATCTAGGTTGGCTGTATCAGTGTTGCTGGAACTAAGACTCGAGTCAGAATCCTGGCAGTCTAGAGGCTCCTGAGGTGATTCTCGCCTGCTGTAAAACTTTCCCCATTTTCCGGGAGGATCTCCATTATCTGACACATTAACTCCCCCTGTCTTTTTCGTAATGACTCCCCCTGTCTCCAACGGCAAAGGCAAAACAACAGAATCATTTGGTTTCCAAGACCTATCTTCATCAACCCCAATAGACTCCCCCTGAAGAGAAGTCGAAGGAAAAAAAGATTGTCTCTCATCAAATGTGATATCCATAGAAACAAAGACCTTACGAAGTGAAGATGAGAAACACTTGTAGCCCTTTTGGTTAGGAGGATATCCTATGAAGACACATTTAATGGACTTAGGATCGAGCTTGGACCTTTGATGGGAAGGAACATGTACAAAAGCCACACAGCCAAACAACTTGGGAGGAAGGGAATGATGAGCCCGAAAAGAAGGAAAGGTGTGGGTTGAAAGTTTGAAATGGCCTTGAAGGCCGATGCATGCAAGAGGGAAAAACAAAATTTTTCTTTGCGGAATATACATGCACATCAAGATCATGCTTTAGGAAAGCATGATGTTACCTTGTTCGTGAAATCACCAGATGATCAAGGCTGGTCTGAAGGGTTCAGACCCTCTAACGTTGATCCACACCACCCACTCGTCTAGGAGCAAGAACTCCTTCTTGTGAAGCCACCGTATGATCACCACAAAGAGGCTTGCTAGGCGCTCTATGTGTGAAGATGGAGGCTAGGTGAAAGTGTTTGAAAAAGTGAAGCTCTCAATGTGAAAGCTTCACAAGTGGCGCAGGAGAGAGGAGAGAATAGGCTAGGTTTTCAGAAAAACCCTTGGAGGAACAACTAAACACTTAGGCACATAAGAGGAGAGTATTTAAAATAAAATACCAATCAGATTTTTCTCCTAAAAATCTGATCATTAGGCGCTAGATAGGAGAGAGAGAAGTGAAGCTGTTTTATTTCAAAAATTGCTAACAGGCTCCTAGAATATTCTCTTGAGAATCGGTTCAAAACCTATTCAAAATTCTGATCAGAAATCTTCATAAGATCAGCTATATGGTGCGCCCCATATAGCCCAAAAAGGTGACCAGATACATCTGAGTAGTTGCATTCAAATTTGAATCAACTCACTCAGATTTTCTCCCAACTGACTGAATCTTCTGGAGCTGATTTTGATGAGCAAATCTTGCTCACCAACAACCCAAATCAGCGCCATATATGGCCTTGGATCTTGTCCAAAAGATTCTCTCATGATACTAGTGATTTGTTCCAACAAGATCTCATCTTATCCTTTTGTTATGAAACAACCTTTCATAGGCAATTCAAATTCAAATATTTGAATTCAAACATTCAAATATTCAAATTCAAATGTTCAAACATTCAAATTCAAAATTCAAATTCAAAATTCAAATTTTCAAATTTCAAAATTCAAATTTCAAATTTCAAATTTCAAATTCGAAATTCGAATTTCGAAATTCAAATTCAAAATTCAAACTTTCAAAATTAAAATTTCGAATTCCAAAATTCAAAATTTAAATGTTTGATAATTAATTTAACTAATTAAATTAATTAGTAATGTCTTGGACTATCCAAGCCCATTATAATGAACCATGCGCCCTCCACCCCTTTAGGTGGAGTTCCAAACAACTTCTTGGGCTAATAACTATTATTAGGCCCAATACCTTTAATGCTAGAGCATCTAGACAATTAGGTGTTTGTGTGTGACCCATTAGGTCCAACTTAGCCACTGACATAAATGGGCTTGGACCCAATAAGCCCACAACCCATCTAATGACAACACAGAGCACTAGCAATGCTTTGTTGCCCCAGAACTAGTTAGATTAATGATTTGATCATCCTATTAAACATATTTAGTTGCCGTGTATATTTCATTTCGTCTCGGTTACCTTCCCATAAAACCTAGGGTAAGGAAGCGTATCAACCCCTGCGGTTTAGGGTAAGCTTTATTCGAAATAGGGAATCTTCAATTTACAGACTCTAAAGGCAGATCATCTCATGATCTCTTTTACTATGCATAGATTCCCGAGTCCCTGTAAATGTCATCCCGATTTCTCCGGTTTACAGATAACCTAATCTCTCACAGAGATTTGACGAATTCCTCCAGCTTATCACCCTAGCCCTGTGTTCTTTCAGGACAAGCCCAACAGTATACCTATGAGTCTCCATGTTTCGGGCAGACGAGGTTCACAATCAAAGCATGCCTTCTAGAACACAGTCTAGGTAACAACTTCTGGTCTTAGGAAAGACATACCCAAATATAAAGAGACTACTCTAA